TTTGTCATCGGATAACTATGAAGCTTTCATTGAAGGTGAAATTTATAATACTTTTATTCTCACCTAACTGCAAACTCAAAAATTGACATAAGAACTAAAATAAAATCAATGAATCCTCTATTCTGTATCTATCAAACACCTTAGCCTTTTAAGAAAATGACCACGACTGAATTTCAGCAACTTTTCATTTTTTTAATTTTCAAATTATTTTATTTTTTATTCAAAAAGTGCAGGTAATTATGAAACATTTGTGCACCTATCACCAAGAATTAACATGAATATTTTTCATCATCAAGGTAGTGTGTTCAGATCCCCATACCAGCCAGCAGCCAAAAAAAAAAAAAAAATTCACTTTTGTCTCAGGGTTTTTCATAATACAAGAAATTAAACATTACAGATAAACTCTTCTTTTCCCCTGCTTCGTTTCCCTCTCTCCAAGTAAGCAACTTTTATCATGAATTTTATGAGAATCATTGTAGCCCATCTTTATTTTTACTTTTACCGCGTTTAAATGTGTTTATATGTGTTTAAATTATTTTTACTTTTACCGCGTTTAAATGTGTTTATAGATACATTTACTGTCATGAATTTTTTAAAATTTACATAAAAGTATCACACTCTAATGTTCTCCAAATCACTTTTCTCATTTGATGTTACTTTTTGAGAATCTATCCATGTTTTGTTATATTGTATTTCCCTGAATACATTTCAATTTCCCTAATGATGGACATTTGGATTGTTTCAATTGTTTACTGTTACACAAAATATATATTTATATGGGTCTCCTTGTGCATATATGCAAGAATGTCTTTAACATGTATGGTGGATCACACAGTAGCAATATGACTACTTGCCATATTATACCAATTTACACCCTTGCCAGCAATGATGAGTTATCTTTGCACCACATTCTCACCAACAGTAGCTCATGGTCAGACTTTTACAATTTTTGCCACTGTGAAGAGTGTGACTATAATTTACACTTCCCTGACAATTTAAGAAGTAGTGCATTCTTTCATGTTTATTAAACCTTATTTCCTTTTCTGCGAACTGCCCATTCTTATCATTTATGAAGTTTGCTATTAAGTTTTCTTTCTGTCAATGATGTGTACATCTTTACATAGCCTATTCTATTCATTTAACTGTTATAATTGTATATGCTGTGAATACCTTCTCACGGGTTGGCACTTGTCTTTGTCCTCTAGGTTTTAATTTCAATATACTCAAATTTATCACTTTGGTTTATGATCTACGTTACTTGCATCGTACTTAGGAAATTCTTCCCTCTCCAGAGGACATTAAGGTTTTCTTTTAAATTTTCTTTTCATAGTTTTATAGTTTTGTTTTTTGCATCTTCTTTTTTACTATTTGGTTATTATTGGGGTATAGTAACACTATTTTTGTACAGCAATTTTGTATCCAAAAACCTTGCCAAATTCTGTTATTCTTGTATTTTGTCTGTAAGTTCTTTAGGGTTTTCCATTTAGAAATATTTACATTATGCAAACACTAACATTTTAACATTTACTTAATATTTAATATTAAAAATAAACCTTTAACATGGAAATTTTCAAACAAGCACAAGACGGCAGTATAATGAATCCCCTCGTTCCTAGCATCCAGTTTCAACAATTTGCCATTCTTGTTTTATCTATCCTGTCTTCCCACACACTTTTATTTTTCTTTTCACTTGTTTTTTGCCTGGAGTATTTTAGAGCAAATTCCAGATATCATATTATTTCACCATAAATACTTCAGTATGTATCTCTAGGGGACAAGGCCTTTTCTTATGTTTTTCTTTTTTTTAAAGGTACCATATTATACCCCCCAAAATTAATAATTCCTTGATATCATCTAATACCTGTATCATGTTCAATTTTATCTCAAAAAGGCCTTTCTACAGTTGGTTTAAATCAGGATGCAAACAGGATCCTCACATTGCACTGGATTCATATGGCAGTTCCCTCTCCCTTTCTTCTCCCCATGCCATTTGTTGAATAATCTGAGTCATCTGTCCTGTAGAATTTCCCACTTTGTGATTCTTCTGATTGTACCTTCACGGTGATGCTTGATTTGTTCCTTAAACTGCCAGTTACATCTACAGGATTGGTTGGATAGCTTTTGCTTTCGTTTTTTTGTTTGTTTTTAGTTTTGCTTGCTTTTGCAAGAATACTTCATAGGTATTTCCTTGCATCATATTAGGAGGCATATATATATCCCACCTTTAGAGACGTCAAGATCTATCAGTGAATTCAGATTTTTTTCTAAATCTTAACGCTTCTTCCTCCCACCCCCCACCTTTGTTTTTATTGAAATGGCTAGGACCTCCAGTACAATATTGAAGGTAGGGACAAGAGTAGGCATCTTTTAACTTACTCCCAACTTTAATGTGAATGTTTTAAAAGTTTTACTACTAAATGGTATTTTTCTCTCTAGATTTTTCATACACACTGATTAAGTAAGCTTCCTTCCATTCTAGTTACCAGGCTTTTTTTTTTTTCTCCAGTGATGTGTTCAATGTTATTGAATCCTTTTTCTTGACTCTATTCCTCACTGGCTTTCAACTTAAACCCTGGGAATAGAAATGAAATTTGAAAAAGAACTTTATGTTTAGAGACAATACTACCTTTAGATCTAGGCAAGAGGAGCCCCTGCCCTGGACCCACACTTTAGAGGACTTTGACCTCAGACTCTCTTTTCACAGCATAAGAACTTATGGTGCCAAGGTGATATACCCAGTTAGAACACATGCCCCCTTCTAGACATGCTTCTAACTCCCAAATAGCTGCTTCTAGGGCTTGCAGAGACCTCTGACATACTAAGGGTGAACTAAGCAAAGTGTATACTAGTGGTACAGAAAGAGCTTAGACATGTGAGGTGAAGAGTCCATATATATTTACATGTACCAGGCTCCTCATGATGCAGAACAAATCAAGGGGTGGAGAGAGAAAGAAGGTAGCCAGTGGGTCAGGGGCCAACTCTCCCTGCACTGCTGTGTTTTGTCATGGAACTATAAAATCAGAGAATTCTAAATTCAAACTGCCCTTCCAGGTCATTATAAAGGTATATTTATCATGCTGAGAGAATAAGCCATTTTACTTAACAGTTATGTAGCTTGATTTATAACTTTTAAATGTTAAGGTAAATTGTATGTGGGCCTCAATTTGTACTCTTTCACAGGTCAGAACCCACCAAATGTTGGTGGAGAGCCTGACTAGTGAATTTACAACTTAGTTAAAATTGCATTTCACTAGCACTATTAGTTTTTACAATTTGATCAGTATTTTCAGTATGACATCTTAAAGGCATGTATCACCCCGAACAGTGAATCCAAATGTTAGAATATATAGGTTAAAAGCTCAGATTTTGGAGTCAGCCAAGTCTTGATACTACTCTAGATTCAACCATTTTTCGAGCAATGTAACTTTAAGGAAATGACTTAATCTAAGCCTCAATTTCACTTGTAAAATGAGAATAGGAAATTTGTCGCGAAATTTAAATTAGACAATACACATTAAGTACTTAGCAGAGTGACTGGCACATGGTATGTGCTCAATAAATTGCAGCTATTTTAAGGAAAAATGTTGACTACTATTAGCTAACATTATACTAAGTTCCTTACTTATCACAAAAATCTTCATAATGACCCAGATGTAAATACTATTATCTCCATTTTATATAAAAAAGTAAAGCTAATGTAAATATCTTTAAAACAACTCTGTCAGAAAGGCAGAGCATTTATTAATCTCATTTTGTAAAGGAGAAAACCCACAATTTTCAAAAGACCTGCTCACTTTCAAGAAGATGGTGATCAGCAGAGACAGAATTATTAGAGAACACTGACTTCTACTTCAGTAGTTTTCACTGCACCACGCCACCTCTGAAAAAAAGGTTAATACTATTATTTCAACAAATGTGTAAACCCAAATGTCCTAAATGAAATATTAAAAATAAAGGGCTCTATTTTTTTTAAAGAAAGATACAAAAGATTTTCTATGTCCGTCCCCACCAAAAGTAAAACATTAAAAGACTGAAAATTTTGCTCAGTATTTCACACAATTTCAAAATTTATATAAAGAAGCGATAAGTTTCCCAAAATCATTCTTCACTGGCAAATACCAATTATCTTTCAAAAAAGGTATTCTATCAATCCTACCTAGAATATAAGTTGCAAGAAAGCAGGGGCTTTACCTGGTAAATGTGCACATAATAAATTGTCAGTAAATATTTACTGAATTAATGACTGTAAATTCAAATAAAATTTGTGTAATTCTCTCTGTGCTATATGTTACATGATGGATAGGCATTAACTTGAGCCATACGAACTACAGATATTCAACTACTTTTACCTACAAAAGGGGCAATTTCATACAGCTCAAACTGTCTTTAAAAAGCTTTCTAGAGGATAATAGCATGAAGCAAAAAAAGTGAACAGATCTTGTGAAAGCTGAGACAGAAATGGAAGATTTTTTCTCAAGAATAATCCATAAGACTCCTACATATTTTAAAAATTAAGCGAGGCATTTTTAAAAAGGATCATTATTCACTTTTTTTTGCATTTTAAAATTACCCCCATTTTGGTGTTTATTATACACAGACACTCATGTGTAAATATTCAAACTGTCTTAAGAATACGGAGTATATTTCTCTCTATTAGCTAATTCTGATTTCATCTAAATGTTCAAATATCTAATTAGATCCAATTCGAACTATTAATAATGAGTAAAATATATTCTAGTTTGAGTAAATAAATTCTAGTTTCTAGAGATCTGGTTAAAAGCTAATCTAGACATACTACCTTTTCCAATACTCAAACATACTGGGCTAAAAAAGCAACTGATAAATACGTAATTCCAAATTTGTTTTCTTCATCATTAGAAATACGCCTAACATTAATACATTTCTTTGTGTACATTACTTCAAGAGGTATCTCAAACACACGTATCTAAAACTGTAGATAACTGGGATTCCTGAACAGTAATAGGAAAACCACCATTTAATCAGTGTTTTACTAATGACCTTTCTTTTTTTATTTCAAAAAAAATACAGACATAATGTAGGCTTACTAATATTCCTTAAAAGAGAGAAAGAGAAATAAATTTCAAAATATGTCCAAACAGATCTGCTTTACATTTCTGGAAATAAAAGAATACCTACCTAAACATAACAGTTTCAAATTTTTGTACATAATTTTTGTCCATCCAGGCCTTAAGATCACATAACTAACATTCCAAAAAATGAGAACTTAAAAAATATATATGAAACAAAGAAAGTATCAGGGTTGTAGAAGATTTAATATCAAATAAAATAAATTTAACATGATTAAAAAGCTTCGACTGCCTGTATCCTTATACCATGTAATAAGCTAACAAAGCATAGTTTCCATGATACATCAAGTGGTTTTATATTCTCACATTTCAAATGAAATGTTGATGGCCTAAAAACCAGACAATCTGCCTTGAATGATAGTAAACAACGGTAGCATATTCTATCAGCAAGTTTCTTTTCAATCTATCAAATGGCACAAGTTCATATTTTTCTTGTTTGTGATCCCAAAACTGGCAGCACTTTCATTTCATCCACTCTATTCTTATGTATTTGAAAAGCAGGTGTTATCCATCTACCACACGAGCACTGTTCACCATACCAATTGAAGGAACCCAACTTGGCACTGCATTTTGGGCAAAGAAGCTGAAATAAATCAAACATGTTACTTCATTCATTTTTATATCAAACAAATAATTATCTTTGGTAATAAAGGATATAAAAACAGGTAAGACATGGCTCCTACCTTCAAGGAGTTTATAACCTAATTAGCCAGATAAGATGCACTAAAAATTTAGTGTATAGATGGTCTACATTTATTGCATACGAGGCATGTTGTACTCAGGGAATTTAGAGGAGGAACAGATGAATTCTAGCTTGAGGGGAGAAAGGTGAAATGAAGCCTGAATCTCAATTAAGGAAGGTTTTATGAATGTGGCATACATATATGGCTTTTAAATCAGTTTGCAATTCAAGATTTCAAACTAAAATCATTGTGGCTAAAGGACAGAAAGGCATATTAGGATTCTTATGTTCTATCACTAATATTGACAGCATATAAGTCAGGTTTCTGGCTATTAAAAAACAAACATATTCCAGTAAAAGAGATAAACCCAATAAAGCTTAACAAGTCAATAGCATTTTCTTCTGATATAGTTATAGAATAATTTATGTTTAGCTCTTTAATTTGTGCATGGTATAAGGTAGGGATTTTTATTTTTAATTTAGAACTACAGAAAATCTGGACATAAAACTCAGAAACTGTAAGTGAAAGATCTAACAGATTTGATTATTTAAATATCTTAAATTTTAATATGACAAAAAAAATACCACAAATTTGAGATAAGCAACAGACTGGAGAAAATATTTTCAATATACTAGATGAAGCATTAACATCTGGAATATATAAATAGCTCCTACAAATCAATAAGAAAAATACAAAATTCATAGAAAAATTGGCCAAGGATGTGAAAGCAATTTACAGAAAAAGAAACTATAAATGGCCGGGAAATAAATAAAGATGATGGTCTTCAGTAATAGTCATGAAAATTCAAATTAAATATTTTAGGGTTAACATTTTTCACCCCACAGACTGATAGATTGACAAAACTTTACCAGTTTTATAGTATCTACCATGCCAAGGGTATGGGGAAATGGGTACACGCATTCACTGTTAGTAAAACGCAAATTTGTATGGGCGCTTTAAATGTCAGCTGGAATATTACTAATATTTAAAATGTACACAGTCTTTAAGACAGGCATTCCACTTCTAGGTATATATTCTATAGAAAAATTCAAATATGTATACAAAAAAGTATGCACAAATGTAATTTAGAATTTTTCACAAAAATGTCTTTATCACGCGCGTGTCTGTGTGTATATGTGTGCGTTGTGTTTTCTGGTTAAATAAAAGCAGCAAGCCAAAAGCACAAGCCACAAAAAAGAAAAATAGATAAATTGGATTTCATTAAAATTAAAAACTCTTAAGTGCTACAAATAATACCATTAAGAATGGGAAGCAATTGCTAATGGGTACATTATTTGGGGGATGACGAGAATGATGAGGTTGCAGAAAAGTCTGTGAATATACTAAAATCCATTGTACACTTTAAATGGGTGAATTGTATGGTATGTGAATTATACCTTAATAGAGCTGTTTTTAAGAAAGCAGCAGCATCTGAAAACATGGTTTTGAAAATAGGGTATCACTTTCTGGGCAAGACAGGCACTAAGTAATGTAAACTAAGTTTCCTCATGTACGAGGGTTCTTCAAAAAACTCATGGAATAATTCATATTGTATTTAAATTCCACTTTTCCATAAATTTTTTGAACTATCCTTGTACGAAATGCAAATAAATCTGTTCTATCAATTTTATAAAACTATTGCATTCTTCACGAGGTAATATAATGAAAAGGTTTCATAAAATATCCATTATATCAACTTTTATACAAATCATACAAACTTGCAAAGACATTATTAACATTATAAGAATACTTCAGATTAATACCAAATAAACCTGGGCCGACCCTGTGGCGCACTCGGGAGAGTGCGGCGCTGGGAGCGTAGCAATGCTCCCGCCATGGGTTCGGATCCTATATAGCAATGGCCAGTGCGCTCACTGGCTGAGCGCGGTGCGGGTAACACCAAGCCAAGGGTTGCGATCCCCTTACCAGTCACGAAAAAGACAAAAAAATAAAAATAAAAAAATAAACCTAAAGGAGAAATGTGACCGTCACCAGATGTTCATAAGAGCTGCATTATTTAACAAGGAATGAAAAAAAATCTCACACAGCAAACATACTAAATAAAAAGATCAGGAAAAAACAGGAAGAAAGAGATACATGACATAGCTAACAGAGAAAAAGAAAAAGAAATTTTAAACATAATTTTAAAATCTTTGATTTACTCTACTTTTTACAAAACTCAAACTAGCTTAAAAATAAACAATGTTAGTCTTATATTCGAAAAAATATAAACAATAGCCTAAAAAGGAATTCATTTAACTTAGACCAGCGGCTCTCAACCTAAAGTGCTTCACTATTGTGGATCAGCTTGTTTTTAAAAAATACTTTATTTTTCATAGTCTTATCTATACTGGAAAGATATAATTTTCAGAAAGAAAGGAGTTACTCTTTTGTCTCGGCCACCAGCATGCCATCCAGACTGGGGAAGACCTGGAAACTATGGGGCCATGTGAGCCATGGCCACGGACACATCTGCAAGCACCAGAAGAACTTGGGAGGCTGGGGTAATGCTGGTGACATGCATCACTACAGGATCAGTTTTGACAACTAGCACCCAGGTTACTTTGGGAAAGCTGGTATGAGGCATTACCACTTAAAGAAGAACCAGAGCTTTTGCCCAACTATAAACTTTAATAAACTGTGGACCTTGGTCAGTGAACAGACATGGGGAAATGCTGCCAAAAACAAGACTGGAGTGGTTCCCATCACTGACATGGTACAAATGAACTACTACAAAGTTCTGCGGAAGGGAAAGCTCCCAAAAGTGCCTGTCATTATGAAGGCCAAATTCTTCAGCATTAGAGCTGAGGAGAAGATTAAGGGTGTGGGAAAGGCCTGTGTCCTGGTGGCTTAAAGCCACATGGAGGGAATTTTATTAAATGCTAACAAATGCTTTTCAAAAAAAAAAGGAAATAAAGAAAGGAATTAAGATGGAATAAAACACTAGTTAAAATATGGCTTAAAGGGCAGGCCGGCCTGTGGCTCACTCGGTAGAGTGCGGTGCTGATAACACCAAGGCCACGGGTTCGGATCCTATATAGGGATGGCCGGTTTGCTCACTGGCTGAGTGTGGTGCTGACAACACCAAGCCAAGGGTTGAGATCCCCTTACCGGTCATCTTTAAAAAAAAATATATATATATATGGCTTAAAGAGCAAAAAGAAACAAAATATAAGTGATACAATGAAACTGCAGAAGATAAAATGTGTTCTCACCTGGCCGTCCATCACTCCCAACAAAGTGGACTCCATCCACTGTACAGGTTCAATGAAATAAGATGTACATTGAGCCTGACTCCCTGTGGTAAGCATGAAAGGTGTTGTCATTCTCTTATGGGCAAAGGCTATAGGCCCACTTCCTTCCTTATGATCCAAAATACTAGAACTTCGAAATAAGGATCGCCTGCAAGCCCAAACAAACAAAACCATTAATGACTTCCAAAAGAACAAAAAAATAAATAAAATGTGCAGTATTCCTCAGAGGACAAAATATAACATTGATTATACCACTTAAATTTTCAGTAAACCCTACAGTCTGGTTACTTTTAAGAATTTATATTCCCTATGTTTAGTGTGGAGAGAATAAAAAAATAATTTTTTAAAAAGAATTTATATTACTTTTGAAAGCAGATTTAAATTAGAAATTTCTGTACTATTCAATTAAACAAATTATTCCTACAGAGATAAAAGAAAATAAAATTGTAAGTACTTCTCAGCTACTGAGACAAGATAAAATCTACAGAGGATACAAAATATTTTACCTGCATTTCCTACATTTGTAGAGAACTTCATCTTTCAATCCCTGTGAAATGGTGGTTGGGTCAACAGCAAAGAGTTCTTGAGGTAAATTCTGCAATTCTATATGATATAATTAATATGTATCCATTTGTTAAAATCAACGCTGCATTGTCAAATATAATTTAGTTAATGTCAAATTGAGGCAACATGTGCTAAACTCAGAAATTTTAAACAAAACATAACGAAACAAAAACAAACTCCAGTGTTGAGAAACCAGGATGAGGTTTAACTAGGATTAAGCTCTTGCTTCTGGGCACACACTGCCAGAGTTCAGATCCTAGCCCTGCCATTTACAAACCATGTGACTTTAAATAAATTATTTCTGGCTAATCCACAGATTCAAGAGGAAACAATAGTACCTGCCCCACAAGATTGCTGGTAAAGTGAGATAATGCCTTCAGTGTCAGAGAAAGATATCTAAAAAGAGTCCAAAACGTACTAGCAATTATTATTACTTACCTGGATACTTCTCTGTAACCTTTTGTAAACGATATTGCTTATAAATTGCACTAGAGGTATCCACTTCATTTCCCATTGCCTGGTATAATTTCAGTTGCCACTCAAACCCCTCATTCATCCTGTAATGACAAAGAAATATGTAGTTTATTTTTCTTTAAATAAAACCAAATCACAAAAGCAGAATTATTACTACGATAAAGAACTCACTTAGCCTCTGGCTTGATAGTCTGGAGGTTTTCATAGGCTTGTTCAAAGGTAAGTTGGTCAGTCTTCATCAAAAAAGCAGTCACTATAGCAACACTTCGACTGACTCCTGCATGACTGAAAAAGAGACCTTCAAAATAAAATAGCAAATAGCAACAATTAAAACAAAACAAAACAAAACAAAACCCAGCTTCCTATTAATGGAAAAGTTCAGATTTACTTCATTTCTATTCCTACTCAAATCCACTGCCTCTGAAATACTACTAATGCACAAAAGAATTATTTCTTTTGAATTCCGAACCATGTGAATGTATTACCTAGTCAAAAATAATTACGCTAATTTTTAAAAATTTTGTAATGGCTTTGGAACAAATCCAAACTACTTTACTCTTCATATTCAGGGTCCTGGAAATCTGGTTCCAGACTTATTTCGATTTTATCACTACCTTCCGTCCTTAATGTAAATACTTAGAACAAGCACGGGAACACAGTACGTGCTCAATAAATTAAAACTATAGTTATCACACTCCAATCCACCCAAACAGGACTACTTAAGGATTCCCAAATACTCACCAAGATTTTCTTTTTGCCTTTACTGTAACCTACCCCATCTCTCCCCTAGGCAAGGGCCAGGGATCCTTTAGATCCTGACCAATTTTTCCCTTCATCGACCATCCCCCCTTCCATCCCAAAGAACATTAAAAATAATCTGCTCTTCACTCTAAAATCTGAATAACCTTAACCTTTGTTAATCTCTTTTAGTACACCCCTCACATCCCATACAATCAACGGGATGCATGTCTGACTTCTACAGAGATGTAAACTCTTTAGGGTGTCGAGACTATCATATCTGATGACACATCCCCCCCGCACCCCCCCCCCAACTCGCTTGCTGCAGAATGAACCAACCAAAACAGGATGAAATTATGCACGCCATCGGGGCTCGCCTCCAGCCCCCTCCTCTCTCTCGGACAGATGCCTCCTAAGGGAGGGAGTAGGAGGAGGTTCTTCTGCTATGACCACCTTCTCGTCCTCTCCTGGGGTCCACGGAGGAAAGGGATGCGGGGCAGACTGGAAGCGAGGCGGGGCACTTAGCTGCGTCGACCTGGCCACTCACCAGTGCACCAACACCGCACGGCCCTCGGTGCAGGCCTGGCCGATGAAGGCCACGCACCGGTCCAGATGGCTGAGCAGGTCGGTCTCGGGTTTGTCCAGCGCTGGTACGAAGAGGCTCCGGAGACCCTCGACCCCAGCCCCTGCCTTGAAGCCGGGCTCCTCCGAGTCCACCGTCAGCACAGCCGTGATGCCTGCTTCCCTCAGCTGGTCCGGCTCCGCGACAGACGCGACTCCACCTAGGTAGAGCCCCGGCCGCACTTCCAGCATCTGCCGGGAGGAATTAGCTCCGCTAGAGCTCGGGCCCTGAACCTCCATCATGGCAGCGCCCAGAGGCCAGGATGCTGCTGGCCCTACCATCGAGTGGGTGACCGGCTAGAATATCCTTCCCCCGGGACCCGCCGGCCTCAGCGGCTCAGCAGCTCCCTCGGAGGACCACGTCGACTGCAGGAATGTGCTGTTGCGGCAGCTGAGGCGTAGCTAAGTCCCATTCAGTGCGGCCTTTCCATCCCGCCCCCCGGCTCCCCGCCTCCACAACTTGGTGATAGAGAATAAACCTCCCCAAATACAAGGTTTCTCAGGCTTTTAGTGTAGAGACTTTCAGGAAAGGGGAAACAGATCAGCTGAACTCAGATTTGAAATGATGGTCCCACCAACTGAATCAGCATCATCATTGCATGCATTTGAAGTAAAACATTTTTTAATGCTTATAAAGCCATTTTGTATTTCTCCTCTTAACAATTGTTTCCTTTTTTTTTTTTTTGCCCAATTTTTAAAATTTATTTTCTTGTTGATGTTTATTGTTCTGTATATTTTGAAGATATTAACCCCATGCTTTTGTCTCACAAGACATGGCCATATGTTGCTACAGCTGTCCGGCTATAGAAACATCAAGGAAAACCTAGTTCGTGGTACTCCTGGATGCCAGGGTCTGCTTTTCTCTTTCTCGAATGTAACTTTATAATTTTCAAAGAGTTTCCTTGGGGACCCAGGGTAGAAACACTTGAGCCTCACCCAAGTCAAATGGAGGAAGGAGCAGATGCTTCTGACTGGGAGCATAGCCCCTTGAAGTGGGCAGCCTGTCGGAATAGAAGAAGAGCGGTATGTCCCCATACCTCCAGCACAGGCTGTGAACTCCTTAAGGGTAAGGACTTTGCTTTTTCATCTTTGTATCTCCCACAGAATCTAGGCTAATGTTGGTAATTAATCCGTCTTTGTGAATGTTTGAAATGGGATAGAAAAGAGTGCCAGAAGGGACATTGTGTACTGTTGAGCATTGTCCCCGAAAGGACAGACAAAATGGACTCGCTGTGGTTAAAAGAGACATTCAAATTGTTTAACAAAACCAAATGACCACAGCAAGGGAAAGGGCAAACACATATTTCTCAGCCTGTGAGTATGAATCTTACCAACTGTTATGAAGTTTTCTTTTCTATAACTAAGCAAAGGCAACTCTCAAAAGATAAGGCCACATCAGCTATAGCTGGGAATTCTACATTGACCAAGTCCACCTGGCACCAGTCATCGACCCTGTCCATCTCATTCTTGAGGGCATTATGACTCCAGTTAGACAAGAACCAGACTCTGAGTACATTCTTCTCCGATAAAAGGGGCCACATCAAAACCAGCCAGGCCAGTCTATGGAGCCTGCACAATAACACACTTTTGTGATATGTTCATACACTGCATGTGTGTATAGCCTTCTCCATAAATATTCATAGCATTTCTCTAGGTTCACTGAATACGAATGTAAACCTGATCCTAAGAGGCATAAATACTAGCTTCCTCTTCTTCCCCAGGCGGAATACTTGACTTTGGTCCAGCTGAAGCCTGTGTTTCCTGATCTGCAGATTGCCTTTTTTTTCCTTTATTTTTTCCTTCTCTCTGGAAAATTAAGTCTCCCCCTTCTCAGCAGATCCTATGGCCCTCTTTTTGTTAACAGCACTTTCCTCTCAACCCCATTCCCTCCTGATCCCAAAGGCTTTACCTGAAAGGTTCACTAGTGTTTTTGTCTGAGTAGTCACATTAACAGTCTTTTGAGCCCCTGGTTTAATCAACCCAACCTTTCTCACTTTAAAATTTTGAAAACATCTACTGTGTGTCAGGCACAACATTAGATGCTGAGAATATGAACATAAGTAAGAGTCTTTGCCCTCAAGGAACTTAGAGAAAAGCTGGAGTGATAGATAAGTAAATAGCCTAATTAATATTATAATAAAGAAAAGAGCAAGATATTAAGGGAGTACATGGGGGTCATCCAACCCTAGTGGAAGGACGGTAATCAGGGAAGGCTTCCCAAAGGAGGTAATGTTTGATCCCCGTCTTGAAGGATGAGCGTGAATTTGTCAGGCAAAAAGGAGGGAGGTGAGGAAAGAAAGAAAGAAGTTCTTTTCAGAAGCATCAACATCTACAAGGGTACAAAGGCCAGAAAGTCCCATCAAAGTGTAAATGTGTTGTTGAGGAAGGAAGGAAAAAGTAGATGGTATTCACGGTCGTCTATAGGACACTGGAAAGATAGCCATGGCCAGATCATGAGGGCAACATATGCCTTGCTAAGAAGTTTTAACTTTTTCTTAAAGACTATGCAAACTACTAAAGAAGTTTAAGCAGCAGAATAACACAATTTGATTTGCATTTTAGAAAACTGACCCTTGACCACAGTGTGGGGAATAGGTTGGGGAGCGCAATTCTAGAAGCAGAATACAGTTAAGAGATTGGGACGATAATTGAGTCAAGGTATGACAGGGGCCTAGGGTTCTCTGGCAGAGGGAACAGAGAGGAAGCAAATGTGTTTAAATGTTATTAGGAAGGCAGAAGAGAGAAGGGGTTGAGACCAAATGGATATGGGAGATGAAATAGGGAGAAACCAAAGATAACTTTGTTTCTGGTCTGGGTGATTAAGTGGTTGCTGGCTTCATTCACCAAGACAGGGAATAAGGGAAGCAGGTCAGTTTGGAGAAAAGTAAATCCATTGGGACATGTGGACTCCCAAGTAAAGATGACCATTGGCTGGTTGGATACTGGGGTATGACACTCAGAAAAGAGACGCAATCATCATTTTATGAGTAGATTAGGGTTGATGAGATTGTCTAGGATAAGAATATAAGAAAAGATACAAAAAGAATTGTGAGATTGCTAGAGAAAAATAAGATTTAAGGGACAGGTAAGTAAGAGGAAACCACAAAGGAAACTGAATCATAGCCAAAGAGATAATAAGAAAAATTGGTATCTCAGAACCCAAGGATGTGTCATACCACAAAGAGGTCAGGTAAAGTGAGGACTAAAAGCTCGCACTGGATTTAATAATCAAGATGTCTTAGCATCCTTAGTAAGAGTAATTTCAATGAGGTTCTTGAGAGTGGGGTTGGGGAAAGGAAGCCTGATTGCACAGGGCAAGGAGGAGGTAGGAAGCAAAAAAATGGAGGCAGTGAGTGTGGACTAGTCTTTCAAGAAGAAAAGAAAGATGAGGCCATAGCCAAAGGGAAATGTGAAATTAAGGGAGGTGTTTTGTTGTTGTTGTTTTGTTTTGTTTTAAAAATAGGAAAGATGCTATGGGTCGAATGTTTCCCCCAAAAGTTCATGTATTGGAAACTTGATCCCCATTGTAAGTGTTAAGAGGGTGGGAAATCCAATTATGGTATTTGAAAAGTGGGGCCTTCGAGAGGTGAATGGATCATGAGGACTGCCCTTGTGAATGGACTAATTCATTCATGGAGTAATGAGTTATCAGGGTCATGGTTCTGATGGCTTTATAAGGAGAGCGAGTGAGAAGGTCAGCTGGCTGGCTCCTGCCATTCTCTTTCCATGTGATGCCCTGCTTCACCATGGGACCCTGTAGAGAGTGCACTCCCAGAAGAAGGCCCTCACCAGATGCACCCCCCAGACCAGGGATTTCCCAGCCTCCAAAACTGTAAGAAATAAATTTAATTTCTTTGTAAATTACTGAGTTTCAGGTATTCTGTTATGTGACAGAAAACAGACTAATACAAAAAACGAGCTTTGTTAAAGGGTCAAAGAAGTACCAGAAGAGAGGGAGAAGTTAAAGATAGAGGAGAAAAGGAGTCCTTGAATGAATTGGAGGGTGGCGTGAGATTTACCTTTTCAATGGTAATCAGAGGAAAGGAGGAAAGAATGGGTGGGGATGCAGGGAGGCTCAATGGTTTGGTGGCAAGAAGCTAAAGGTATTCTCTTCTGATAGTTTCAATTTTCTGGGTGAAAGAAAAATCTAGTTTACATGCTGAGAGTGAGGATAGTGGTTTGGAAAGAATAGCCAGTTTGAGGAAATTCTCTGTGGACAATATATGTCAAAGCTAACTGGTAGGAACTGGTAGCTGAAGGCCTAATCAGTGTTCAGATCAGAAATATAAAAGCATCTGTGCAGTTAAGGGTTAACTCTGCAGGCACTGGTTACTCAAGCCCTTCACATTCCAAAGAAAGACCTGTTTTCAGGAGGGCCATCTTGACCAACTCCTTGATCAGTTTGACCACTGGGAGGCTGGACACTGAGTAGTTAGGGTCAGTCCTGCAGGTGATGCATGCCCATGTAACTGGTCCCAATAAAAGCCCTGGACACCAGGGATCAGGGAAGCTTCCTTTTTGGCAATCCTTCACACATGTTGTCCCACATCATTGCTGGGAGAATTAAGTGCGTCCCTATATGACTCTTCAGGGAGAAGATATCTGGAAGATTGCACCTGGGTTCTCTTGGACTTCATCCATGTGCCTTTTGCCTTTGCTGATTTTAATCTGTGTCCTTTCACTGTAATGTCACCTAGTGACATTTTATTATGGCATTCTAATCATTAACTTTGTTATTTTTCTGGTGGAAGTGAGCTTTCCTTCCTCAACTCCCAAAAAGGACTGTAAGCTCCTTCAAGAATGGGAGTAGGAGACACTTCTGGGTTGTTAATTGAATTTCCACAGAGCCTGGCTCAGTAGGTATCTGTAACCCGGTGAATAAAAATGCCTCAATTACTGAGGCTGAAGTGAATTTAGCAGCTTCTATACTTGGGCTCTTAGCCACTAGGAGGCACCATCTGTCCTTTGTAAGATGTTTTTATCTGCGCTTCACTTGAAATAGGGAAAAATGAATATGCTAGCTTGCAAGAAAAGAAGGATGTTAGGCCCAAAGAAGGAAATGCTATCTTTAGAGAGGGAGCTGGGTTGCTTCCTGTCAAAGAAAGAAGAGGCTCTCTATCTTAGTATTGGTACCTACACACACACACACACACACACACACACACACACACACAGCCACAATTTATCTGTTTATAACCAGAGAAGCTGCAATCTTGATATACACCGATTAAGTAAAAATTTCTAGTAATTACTAGGAGATCATCAAGTATGTGATGACGGCATTTTGAGAAGGCACCCCTTTTGTGTGACATAGTCAATCCATGATGGTACATATCAACCAGCTTTCTCACTCTGGTTGTTTCTCAGTATTTTTTGGTTGCTAGGGTGTAGCCACATAATTTATAATTATCTTCTTTAAAAATATTTACTGTAAGTGCATATCTCTGCTGAGCAATGAGCCTGGAAATTTCTCCACTTTTGTCCCATCACCTCCCCACCGTGGTCCTAAGACAAGTTCCTTTTTCTATTTCCGATGTGCTGCCTTGCCCTCCTGAA